ATTTTTATTATTTATCATTTCACCTCGTTCTCTTTGTGTGTCAGTGGAAGGTTACCTACTGAAAAATCTGGATCCACAGCGATGTACGTTCCATCCTTATTTGGAGTCCTTGCCGTTCTTTTTCTTAAGTATGTGATCGGTGCCTAAGTTCCAAACGAGAAGTCGACCAGGCTGATCTGATGCTTGTTAAACAAGCTACAATAGTACTTAATCATCCAGTGCGGCAGCACTTTTTAAACCTGATTAATGCATCACTGTTTGGTATCAAGCTTCACACACTGACTTGTAAGAGTGGATGGGTGGGGAGAGAGAGGGGTTGGTCAGTGCCAAGATTTGCCCTTAAGCTACGATTTTTCCTCATTAGTTCTTGTAGTTGACCATTTTTTCAATTGCATGTCATACTTTAATAAAGTTAAGGGAGAGTCGATCGACGATGTATTGTTACACGACGGCATGATTAGCATGAGATGAAAACAGTATTTGATGAAACTCTTCTTACTTGTCTCTTTTCTAAACTTTTTATCACGCTTTAATTTCCTCTTGAAACTCGCTAACCTCTCCCATCCTCCTTAAATCTCATTAGAAATAAGTTCACTCCTGATTTGCATGTCTTATCACTGAATTTACCCCTGCAATTTTTATTTTTATTATTTATCATTTCACCTCGTTCTCTTTGTGTGTCAGTGGAAGGTTAAAGGTTCTCGCAGCTTGTGGGTCTCGGTATTAGGTCGCTTTCTTCGTCTTAAAACTTAGCATAGCGTGACTGTTTTGTATAAGCGAAGCTGATTTAAATCTTTGTAAGTCCAATTCAAATTTTTGCGAGCTCGTTGTGTGAAAATAAAGATCACTCCTTTAGCTATTCTGTTTGGCGTCATCAATGACTCCTTCCCTATTTTGTAACTCATGTCACATGCACCAAATCTTGGCCTATTGTATACAAAATGCATTTAAGGGACTAATGACTATTTATTACTTGAAAGGGGGGAGGGGACTGGGGATCTTGTGGGGGGATCGCATGGTTCGGGGGGGGGTTGTCACCAACAGAGTGTGAAGGGAATAATATAGAAAACTAGGACCAATATCAGTATCTGGGCAACTGCCCACCTACCCCTTCCCTAAACCAACATTGACCTTAACTTGTTTCAATGGACTGTTGTTGGGTTAGGGGAGGGGTAGGTGGGCAGTTGCCTAGACATTGATATTGATCCGAAAACTGACTGCCAATTAACTTCCATATCCAGCATTTCGTAAAAACTCTCCTTTAACCTTAATTAAACGGAAATGGACTTTTTGCATTACGTTTTAAAAACCTTAATTGTCGGAGCCAGTTAATGTTTGCCTTTCCAAATAAACTCCTGCTAAAACCAGGAGAGGATATTGAAATGTTTAAAGGAAATTTTTAGAGCAAGCGATTTCTCATCAGAACAATCCTGTCGTTGCAAGACATTTTATAGCACGCACAATATTACGTCTTACAAAATTGTTGCATGATATGCAACCGGTTTTAATTCGAATAAATTCATGTAAAACCTTTGAGAGACAAAATAATCCTGGTTATTAAAATACATAGGTGCCTAGGAGAATCCGATAACGTTGCAAAACTATACCTCAGCACGTGCGTTTTGAAACCTTGTACATTTTTCAGCAGTCCTCAGCTAAACAATGACGTGAAGTAATCGAAATTTGTGCGGTCTGAAAACGGAACCCCGACGGCAAATTAGTGAAGTTTTCATTTGGAACTCAACACTTCTCATATGTGCTATGCTGAAGTCGAGATGTGACGGTAGACGCACTCAGAAATTGACACCCGCTTAAGATTTAACTACAGCTGCGCAGTTTTACTTTCTGGTACATCTTTTTTACTGTTGAAAACTGCCATGTGATTGAAATTCTAAATATGATGCGTACGTTTTCACCCAACAAAACTTCCTCTTTCCTATCTTAAAAAACACTTTCCGAGCATTCAATGTAAGGGAATGTTTTTTAATACATTTGAGGTAGTATTTTAGTAGTTGCATTAACTAAGTTGAAGCTCCAATGCACTTTCGCATTGAAGTTTATACTGCAGTCGGGTTTTTCTTACTCCGTGTCGTGTGTTACCAGTAATTGCTTATCGATGATTTGTTTGCTCTCGTCACTTGCAGGGACGACTCGCGAGATTAGCTCAACCTTTCTTATTTTGATTATTATTTCATACTTCATCGCTCCAGGATGGTTTATTGGGTTTGTTGAATCGTCTCGAATTATCTGAACCCATCTGGTTTCAGAAGAAGTTATCTCAACAAGGAGAATGATTACTTAATGATAAAGCGGGATTGCCATAGATACCTCTATATAAAGTTGATGTATGTTCGCCAATACTGCGCCAATACTGGACGCCCCTGCGTACTCTCCCTTAACCCTTGAAAAAGGGTGAGCAAAAACGTGAAAAGCATTACACACTAAAGTCAAACCACCAACTCCCCAAGTTCATCATACTTCCTGGTTATTTCCGTTTTGCTAGTAAACGACTTACACCTTAATTCTCCAAAGGTGGCGATTTATGGAGTATGTGACTCACGCGGACATATATCTCTCTTTTTTCATTTTTGAATGCGTTTCGCCCTAGGCATCACGCATCACGCATCACGCATCACGAGGTTAAAATGTACTTCATTTTTTGTAAAGTCACATAAACATCATCCTCAGACACCTGGTGATGAAGAACCACTCGTATTGTTCCAGTTCGAGCGGTCAAAATTCTAACTGCTCTTCTTGTTTCCGTTGGTTCGTCATCAGATACCATGAGCATGCGTTTAGAAAGTTCTATGGGTGAGATTGTGGGATGGTTGACACTGAAGTACACCATGTTGGTCTCCACGCTCTTAAGATCTACATCCAGTCCAAGATCTTTCATTTCGTGAATTCCTGTAGAAACAGAAATGATAAGGATGGTAAATCTGAACTGATTTCTCGAAAACTTTCATTAGATGGTCCATAACGCCCCGTGCGCGCTTTTGTAGAATAGAAACTTTAAAAAAATGCGGGATCGGGGGAGGAGGTTGGTTGACTTGATTTTCGGCCATTATGGCAGTCTGGGTAGTGTGAGACTTGCAGGGCTTAAAAGTTACCCCAGGGGCTTTGGAAGATGAAATACAATACTGACCTTTAGCAAAAATCTGTGCATTAGCATGGTCTCTTTTAAGTGTTGGAACTATGTTATCTAATGCATAAATCCCTGCAGCAGCTAATACACCAGCTTGTCTCATTCCACCCCCAAGAACTTTCCTGTGACGCAGGCACCTGTTAAATGAATTTGGTGACTTTTGTCAAATTTAGAACCTTTTTTTTTGGGTACATGTGTAATTTTTTCCTTTATAGCATGACATGCAACTAGTGCAAATAAAAAGCTACAACGACATTTAAAACCAACTCCTCTCATCACCAATGACACCAGATTCATTGATAAATACAGCTGAATAAAAAATATAAAAGAAAATTATTTCCTCTCTGATAGAATAGGAATATGTTTTGAAGTTAAGAGACTGACTGCAATCCAAGGTCTTCACTAATTCCTGAATTCTCATCAAATTCTTTAATTCTTCATTTCACTGGGTGAATATAAAATAATTTGGAGCCGGACATGACTAGTTTAACTTAACTAGTTTATCAAAAAGGAGTTCTAGGCTCCTTAGTACCACATCATGCACTCATCTTCATCACTTGGAATTTTTCCTTTCAGTAAAAGTTCAGTTACTATCATGTTTGATGCTTTACCTTGAAATGAAATCTTTATCTCCAGTTATTACTGAGCCAACAGGAGCCCCCAGACCCTACATGAAATGTAAACAAGAAAATTAGAACTAAACAACCTTTCATTGCATAAACCTTAAAACTCTCAGATGTGATTGACAAATAATGCAACCTTGTAATTCCAATATGCCATCTTACAAACAGGTAATGAAAACAAATTGAGGGTGTTACTTTGAATGTGAGATCAAATTCTCTTTTCTAAGTTACAAGGGAATTTATATTATAGCAAAAAGTACATAGAGGGAAATACATGCACTAACTGGATTGTGGGAGTTAAAGGGGCTAACTCAACAATCAGCAAGTGTGGGAAATGGTGAAATCCTGTCATATATCTTAAAAAACCAAGAACCCATCTGTAATCCAAGAATGGAGGTACATGTCTCTGGGATATAAAGAAAGTAAATTTGTTATTAGATTCATTTTCTTTCTTCACTCACCTAAATCAAACACTGCAATGTACAATATAGTTGCAGTATTGCAGAATAAAATGAACACTTCATGACTTCAAGAAGACAAAAAATTGTAATCACCGTGGAGCAATCAAACCTTGTATTTAGAAAATTCATGCAAAACAAAGCAACATTCACCAACAGAATATATTGTTACCTTTGAAAGACAGAAAGTGACAGAATCAACATGCTTAGTGACCTGTGCCACAGGAACACCAAGGGCTGTAGCAGCATTGAAGAGTCTTGCACCATCCATATGAACCTTAAGGTTGTGTTTTGCAGCAACATCTTTTAGCTGATAACATAATTATTCAGGTTGGTTCATTGAAAGTGGTAATGTAGGTTGAGAATGAGCCTCCCTCTCTCAAGAGTACTGCTGCTACAGGTGAACCCTTTACACCCTAACATCAGTACACACATTCTCCACACTGTTCTCTGTACAATTCCTAAGGCCCTGACAAGGAGAATTTGTTTAACAATCAGGAGCTTTTTTAGTTGATGATCATTTTCTTGATTCTTGTGACCTCAATGTTTGATTCAGGAGTGATATTGGAAGGAGGAATTAGAAGCTGGTCACTCTTAGGGTTTAAAGGGTTAAAATTCCTTTGCTATACATCAATCAGTGTGCCTAATAAAACCATCAAAACTCTCTTTAAGATGACAGTTGTAGAAAGCGAGCACCTCAACAGGCTACTTGGACAACAACCCTATTTGATTTCCATGTATGAGTCTATTCGTAACTTCCATTATACAGCATGTACCTTTTACCTCACCCTGTTACAGACTACTGTCTAATAATAAAAGGAAAATTCTATCCTAACCATCAACATGAAATTCAAAATTAATTCTTTCAATGCTTACTATTATAAATTCAGAGTGCTTTCTCATTTGCAGATTTTTTGCATATAAAAAGAAAGAAGTACTGGGATAAGTAAATTGACAATTGATGCCTCTCCTCACTGTCTCTTTAATTATAGAAGAAAATCATGTTCCAGTTTCTTAAAGGTACAAAACAGTTATGGTAAACTATTGTATGATACTGTAAAAGTTGAGAAGATTCACTTGAAACAACATAAAATCCCACCTTTTTCTTAACTACAATTAAAAAAGATAGAATCCTAATGCTGATTATACCTTTTGTAAATATTTCAATGACAACACCCTGCCTCCGCTAGCATTATGTGTCTGTTCAACACAAATCAAACGGCTGGATGGCAGATGTGCATCTCCTTGTGAACGCACTTTTTTCTCTACGTCTGCCAAGTCCAATGTACCATCAACATTAGTGTTCACCTGCCTTGAATGAACACCAGCCAATTGTGCGACTCCACCCTGCTCCCATAATATGATGTGAGCCATGTCACCAACAAGTATCTCATCTCCTCGACCAGGACAGTGCCCCATTACTGAAAGATGAGGTTATGATAAAAATAATATTTACCATACATGTAGTTATCAATAATTAACAAATTTGCCTAGTGAAGGTGACACTAATACCAAAAGTACACACTCCTCCCTTCAGTTGTATTGGCTTTTGCTAAGCCATTGGCCTTGTTTCTGCTATTTTAAAAAACAATTTTGGGAGAGGTCTGTTTAATGTCAAAAAAGGTTTAGGTTAATATCATACAAAATTCCCAAAGCAACAAAACTGTTTTCCTGCATAAACTCATTTCCAAAACAGGTCTGCCCCATAAATAAATAAGCTGGTAAATAGTAAACTTGTTAAAAAATTACCTGATATCAAATTCCCCATTGTTCCACTGGGTACAAATAGGGCAGCTTCTTTACCAGTCAGATCTGCTGCCTTGGCCTGTAGTTCTAATGAAAAAAGGAAAAAAAATTCCTGAGAACCTACACAGAGACTGTTTTAAATGATGGTGACCATCATCTATTATCTATAGTACTATTTAATACTTGCTGTTAAAGAACTATGAAAGTATATGTATGCATGTAAGGGTCTTGCATGTTCCCCAACCACCATTACAAGTAACCCTTTAGGATCAGTCTAACTACTAACTTTCACACAGGCACATCATGCACTTGCATGAAAATGCAATAATATCTCAAGATTGAACCAAATCTGAACTACTTGTACAATACCCTGCTCATTACCATGATAATAAAATATATCAAATTTAATTTGAATGAAAATCCTAAAAGAGTGTAACACAGATGTCACCAAATGGGTTCAATAGAATCAGTGTCAAATAAAATGTTTTCCTATAAAGACCAGAATCAATACTTCTCATAAAGTGTAGGTATGATTCATGGACTAGATGAATGGAACATCAAAAGCCTACAAATAATTTTTGACAAAAGGGTGGTCTTTTGTCTTACTAAGGACCAAGATATCAGTCTGGTTGGACAAAAAAACTTTTATCAGCATGTGGAATTTGAATTTTAGAGAAAGGAGTCTATTAACATATTTTGACACATTTCAACATCTTTAAATCTCCATTTTAGCCTGCAAAATGCGCCGCTATGCAGCCAGACAAAGTGAGTATGATATTTCTTTAAATGTTTTTCAGGATATTTCACAGATGCATAATGTGCAAGGAGAGAGGCAAGGCAGTTTACTTGCTTGGCAGACAGAGATTTCACTAGATGGAGGTGAAGAACAATAACAACAACATCAGAGACTTGAAAACTGATTGAAATTTATTTTGAGACCCTTTCTAAAAAAAATTTCACTTCCTGTGGAGGTCTTGTTGCATAAATAGGACTTTTACACAATGTGCTGTACTTGACTATTTTCAGTTGATGTTATCTCGTGAGTGGACACCCTTGCAAACTGGAAAAAGTGTCAGCAGAGCTGTCGGCCTAAGAGAATTATGGGCACCAAAGAAAAATTGGGTGGATATCTGGAGTGGATGTTTATGGGAAATAAAGGAAAGTAGATCATGACAAATCTGGCTAAAGCACTGACACACACGCAAATGTTAGGTTGGACTCTTGTTGAAGTCAAACAAATTGGACATCTAGTCTTCCCTTGGACGATCGAGATTTCACAAAACTGATCCTCGCTGTTCTGTTGCTCTGTCAAAGGTCATATACGGGTTCGTTATCATGTGAATACTCTTTTGGCTGACGTGCTGCATGCTTGAGTAAATGTTCAGATTGTGGGAACTGAAAACATAATAAATCGACCGTTCCATATCTCGGCTGCCTGCTGCAACTTAAATAACTTCCTCACTATATCCGACATTCACGGCGAGATTGTCCGACCCGGCCAAGCTTTTGCTTGTCAAATCCAGAAATTTACAGAATAATTATTTGTCCGGTGATCGGCCTTACCTAATCCTAACCCCCAAGCTACGTTCTACTCAAACCGCCATATAAAGTCATTCTCCCCATTAGAAAAATAAAATGAAAATAAAATACAAACTATTCACTGTCGGATCTTCTCCATAAACATCGTCGCCAACTTGTGCGGTAGACATTGCAGCCCTCATTTCAACAGTGGGTTTAGTCACTGTGTCACTTCTCAAATCAATCACTGGAACTCCAGACCGCTCCTCACCAACATTGACTCCACTAGCATACAAACTGCTTAAGAACCTTCGTGTCACGATGTATTCCCCATAATTGCCGATCTGAAGTTGTTTGCGAAAAGTTCTCTTTAATAAACTCGATTGAGAGAAGAACAAAGATCTCGAAAATGGTTTTAAGCCTAATATAGTTCTTAAGCTCTGATTTACCGCCATCGTTGGCATAGGATGAGTCTTCTGCTGTCAGGGTAAAAGGCATGATGGGAACTCGTGTTTTCGCGGGTGACATGACATAAGTTTCTCTACTGATTTTACAGTAGATTCTTCATGGTCTATCAATATTCTGTAGCGGAAAAGAGGCAGTTGTTCCCAATGACTGCACGCGTGTTGGAAGTTCCTTTGGCTCAGCACAGTTGGCCTACGCGGGCGATAGTTTCGTCGCGTTTTTGATTTAACTGTGATGCCATGCGAATTTTTCGAAAATTTTATTTTCATTTACATTGGTAACTTGTATAAACTCGTAACACTGGTTATTTATGGACGAAAATTTTGATTAGGGACAAAAACCTTGGGAAATAACCTTTTCTTGTTTCCAATCGGGAATAAACATCTTAAAATATTGCTTGAGCGTCAAACACTGAAAAATAAAAATCAATGGATGAATCCTTCGAGTCTAATTGGACTAACGACAAAGGCTATTTAGTATTGACTGCGGGAACTGAATTGTTTTAAAACCTTACCGATGTCTAGTGTTAAGTTGCCAAGCATAAAATCACTGGCCAGCATAAAAGTTGATCCCCAGATTGAACTCTTTGAAAGATCCATTCCTTGTCGCTGAAACAATCTATACCGCCGTTCACGCTATTTGACATTGGTACTTAAGTTAAGATTTGGTAACGTGAACTCAAGTTTGCTTGTAATCCCTGAAGAGCTACGATGGGACCTCCTTTTTCCAGCCTCTGAGACTGAAAACATGCTATCGGAGGCAGTTGAATCATTTCCTGAGAAAAATCTGCCGTGCCATCACCTGCATCTAAAGATAAACTAATTTGTAAGGGACTGTAATCAGCCAAAAATAGCACTTGGGCCCTTATAAATACTCCAGCAGACGCGGCAAATTTGAATTGCTGAAAAATCTTAAAAGCTCAATCAAGTCTACAGATTTCGAGGTAAGCATTTTTCTTGGTCTTTCGCAGCTTCTTTGAGAGTTTTTATGCGGACAAATAAAACATAACGCAGTCGATCGAGGTCGGCCGGTCACGAAAGATCCACATGCAGAGCGGCAACAGCAGAATAAAATCGAAATGTACGGAATATTGTTACCATATGTTGCTTCCATTTCAGTGAGAAAATCTAAGGTTGAATACGCATTTTGCGGCCATCTTTCTTCCTTGATCGGGTCGTTCAAAGATTTCGCCGCGCCATTGTTTGTTCAGTTCAGAAATAACACTGTCAATTGTATTTCTCTTCCTTAGAAGTCAAGGTTTTTTTTTCACTCCTTTTATCAAATTATCTATTCTAGTTTTCCTTCTTGTTTATTTGTCTGGCTGAAATATAATTCTGTCGACACAACAGCCTTTGTTGTTGGATATTTCTCGGAAAGTGTTCGTTCAAGCGTAAATATTTCGTGGAAAAGTAAACGTCTGAATGTGAAGTGTGTAAGAAAACAAATTGACTGTGACTGTTAGATAATAATCTGGTCCATTGTTTTTGAACAGATGGCTGACAAAGTCTGCGAAAAGCTTATCAACGGAAGGTCGTGGGTACGCTACACGGATGCCAATAAGATGCCACATGAGGAAGGCATCTACGTTATAGGAGTCAAGAGAAGAGGACAAAAGGCAGTCATATATCTTTACCTTGGCCTAGCCATAGATGTCCATGTGAGACTTACACAACACAAGTGTGGCGATCAAGAAATTGACCACTTTATTAAGCGCCATTTTCGACGGAATGGCGGAAAAGATCTCCGCGTTAAGTGGATTGAAGAGCCTAAACACAAGGAGAAGGAGACTGTTTATATCAAATGCGTTGAGAATAAGCTGGGTTAGAAGTTGAAATACAACAAAATAGGTAGAGGCAACTAAAATATGGTAAAGACATGTTTTAGAGAATCGTTCGGGCAGTTTTTTTTCTTTATCTTTTCAGTTTGTGAGCTTAGAAGTTACTCAGTCATCAGGCGTTACAACACTTATACTTTAGAGTAGAAATGATTGCCATGTGTTGCTCAAAACATGTAATTTTTAGTATTCATCTCGGTGGTACAGAAAGGACATTTTAAAGTATGTAAGTTGAGCGACATAAGTTATTCACGAAATACAAATAGCATTTGTTACAAAATAGTCCCGTTTCTTTATTACTCCTACTTTAAGTCTTTCGATAGCTCCATCAAAAATTAATATTGTGAGAACGAGCAAAGTTCCAATTCGTTTTTAATTTAATTTTTAAAAAAGTTTCTTCACCTTACGACACGCTCCTAATTAGTGCCGAGTTTTAAACAAGTTTCCTAAGCTCTCACCATCCTTGCGAGCCGGCGTTCGGTCTTTCTTCATCTCTTCCTTCCCCTTCCAAGTTTCGTTCCCCCTAAACTGCCAAGAAAAAGTATCTGATCCCTGATGGTTTTGTTAAAACGACACAGATTTCCTTATTATTTCTCTGGCGAGGACTCTACAGTTTAAATGCATGTCAACTGTTACTTAGTAGGGTTGCTCGTGAAGCTCAAGGACACTGAAACAAAAATTAAGGAAACTTGATAGTCAAATTTCAGGTTAAGTGTGAAGTACTGCACAGATAGTATTTGAATTTTATTGCACAGACAGTATTTGAATTTTATTGCACAGACAGTATTTGAATTTTATTGCACAGACAGTATTTGAATTTCATTGCACAGACAGTATTTGTATTTCATTGCACAGACAGTATTTGTATTTTATTGCACAGACATTATTTGAATTTTATTGTACGGACAGTATTTGAATTTGATTGCGCAGAGAGTATTTGTATTTTATTGCACAGACAGTATTTGTATTTTATTACACAGACAGTATTTGAATTTTATTGAACCCACGTTATGTCCTATTTCTGGGGTGACTTAATGTAAAGGCAACCCTGAAATAAGGCTGAAATTTGATAAACGAAAGAGGCTCCCCAAGTTTCGCATACGAGTGTACATAAAAGTGTTTTGAAGGTCAAAACATTGAAAAATAAAAATCAATGGATGAATCCATCGAGTCTGATTGGACTAACGGTAAAGGCCAGTTAGTATTGACAGTGGGAAATTGTTTTAAAACCTTAATGATGTCCAGTGGTAGTAGCCAAGCACAAAATCACTCACCAGCGTTAAGGTTTATCTCCAGATTCGGCTTTTTGGGAGGTAGGATCTGTTCCTTGTCGCTGAAACAATCTATACCGCCACTCATACTATTTGACATTGGCGCTTAAAATTAAGATCTGGTAACGAGAACTCAAGTTTGTTTGTAATCCCTGAAGAGCTACGATCGGAGCTCCTTTCCAATCTAATCCAGAAGATCGACATCCGTCTCCTTTGCTAATTGAGTGAAAAAGATATTGAGGTCAAGAAATCAAAATAATTGAGAAGATACTTAAATCAAAAGAAATTAATCGTTCACTCAGTGACCAGTTACGAGAAAAATAGGTCTGAAAGATCTAGAGAGGGCAAGCTGCCAATGAATAGACAGAGACACATTGCAATTCACGACCTTTTATTATCCAAATGTAACGCGCACAACAAAATCTGCCAGAAAACAATTTTTTTCTTCAACTAAATATATTCAAACTATTGGCAATTATTTTGTTAGGCAGAATGCTTCGCTTGAAATCATACATGAAGCATGCAGAAAATATCAATTTCAGACAAGTTCAAAGTTAAAACCCTTTGTCTTGAGTACACTCGCAATATTGCACCTTGTCGTCGCAGTCATTTACTAAACTAGACCCTGTGAGCAGGGTAACTGGGATACCTGGATGGTACTGGATCCGTGGAATCAAGTGTAGTGATACTACGCGTGTCGGACTAGTATACTGAAATAGTGAGCTCAAGTCTGGCCAAGGGCATACACCTGTCTTAAAACATAGGCATGCTATGCATGCAAGAGTTATTTTTTGTAGGGTGGGTGGATTACTTGAAACATTGTAAGTGGTCTACATTCTTACAAAAGGAAAGAAGATTATTAACGCGGGAAAGAATGAAAATGTCGAATTACCTCACACACAGGTATTTTGTGGTAGATTACGTGTGTTGTGCGAATAAATGTAACCAAAAATAAACTGTATTATTGCCACGGATACCTGTTAGTACAAAATGTAGACAACAGACTGCAGACCAGATACAAAATATAGACTGAAGAGTGGATACAAAATGCAGACTGAGAATCTGAAGAGTTTTTACGTCTGGTATATAATAATATGTCATCTTATAGCTTACCGAGCGTCACGCAATCGCTTTTCCGCGATCAGCCTTCACGATTATTTGCACTATTGTGGAAAATTCCTGGCCCATTTCTTGACGAAAATCGATCGTAATATAATTTCAAGCCTTCAACATAGTTGGTTGGTGTGATGTCTGTACAGATTTTACCAATGTAATAAAAGTAGATGACGTGAATAATACTAATGGTAAAGCAAGCTTAAAACGGCAACAATCGCCAGAAACTACAACGGACTGTTGACAACGACAACTGTCTACAACTACAACACGTCTTTCTTCACAAGCAGTTTGCATCCATTTGAATTTTGTTCTTCAGTCTCACGGTAGTAGTGTTGTTCAATAGATTGCATAGAGTATATGCAGTTTGGTTTCAGATTTCAGATTTTGCTTTTTACAACGAGTTTACGTTTTCAACTAAGACATTGGCATACTTGGCATACAAGACATACAAGGCATTCAATGCTTTCATGGCTTTCAAGCTTTCGCGATTCTGTCCGATCCAAAATTACCGCTCAATAACATCTTTTTGTGTGGATTGGCCGCGAACAATACGACTTGTGTATGCGTCTATAAGTATTTTGAGCGTTTGCCCCATAATGCTCCAGATGATCGTAATCCAATTACGTTGAAATACAAAACGACTGACAAAATAGTTTTATGGGCAAAAATCTCGTGTTCGTCATGTGACCCGGCCCTGTCCGTGCATGACAACGTCAATCATCATCAAGATAGCACGCGTGATCAGCATGTGAACACCTCATTGGATCAC